GAGTCTTGCATTTTCACACCCACATTTGTGAATCATGTTCTAGTCATAAGGGAGTTTTATTATTTACCTGTCCACAGCCTTAATTTTCATTAGCACTACCTAGATTACGTTCAACCCATGGATTGGCATAGCCTGTCGGAGCTTGAATAGCATTCACCTTTGTGCCACCATGGATTCCTCACTCCACTCTGAAACCTCGGCAGCCATGTCTGTGGGAAGACACAGCCATGATTTTTCAGTGCTCGTTATAGTGCATCTCCCAACTAAAAAAAGTCTGGGATGTCGTCTAAACCCCCACAGAGCACATGATCTAATGAGAAAGGGAACAAGACTAGAGAGCAAGATGGCATAAATCAGATGCTAACTTGTGGTTTAGGTAGAAGGATACAAAAGGGAGGGAAGTTTGCCAGAAAGGCGGGAATTAGTGCTCTAACTCGAGATGAGAAGGACTCAGATGGCCATGAAATCTAAGAGCAGAGGCACAGTAAGAGCATCAGGTGAGAAGGTGTAGCTCAAGGTGCCGAGGCCAGAGGAGGAGCTAGGACTCCTACTCCACCCAGAGGCTTTGCTCTTTGTGCCCTAAGTGGGGTCCACAGCAAAGGCCTGTCATTGGTCTGGAGTATCCAGAGACTGGATTCCGGAGGGAATGGTATCAAGAGTGAGCTGTGGGCATGGATGATAAGCTGTGGAGCTGGGAGCTCTTGCTGCTTCGGCCAAAGAGGGCTGGGTTACATTACAGCCCTGAAAGCCGCTGGGTCCCTGTGCAGTGTACCTAAGGTGTGAAGGGATGGGGGCTTCAGAGCTGGAGGGAAGTTGGCTTGACTATGCAAAAGAAAAAGCCAATCTCAAAACTTATGAATGCTTAAAAAGCTCACCAAATAGGTATTTCTGCAAATGCCTAAAAACAGCAGTGCCTTATTGTGGGCTAAGCATTGGCCTCCTGACAGTGCCCTCAGCGGTCCCGGATCTGTCTCTTGCTTCAAAGTTTGGATGGAACAGACCCAGGGATGACCCTTCTTCCAGCTTCAACCACCTATGTCTTTTCCAGTCACCACCTCAGCCATCCCCAGCCTTTGAAACCAGCCAACACTGCTTTTTGGTTTTTGTTTTATTATCATTAACTTCTTATTGCCAAACAACCACGAGCTCCCTAAGTCGTCAGTGTTCTTCCACTGAGGTGGAGGCTGCCTGGTCAACCTCATCTGTGGGCCTCCTACACCTACCTCTCTCGGAGCTTTTATTTGGACCACCACCACGTGGCTCTGGGGGGCATGGGCCTCTTCTTGCGCAAGTTGGCAGAAAAGAAGCACGAGGGTGCTGAGCATCTCTTAAAGATGCAAAACCAGCGCAGGGGCAGATTCCCTTCTAGGACGTGTTGAAGCCTTCCCAAGATGAGGGGGGTAAAACTCAGGACAAGATGGAGGCCACCATGGCAGGCCCTGGGTCCTACCTGCACAGACCCTCATCTCTGACTTCCTGGAAAACCACTTCCTGGATGAGGAGATGAAACCATAAAGAAGATGGCGACCACCTGACTAACCTCCGCAGGCTGGCCAGCCCTAGGCTCGGCGAGTATCTCTTCGAAAGGCTCCCTTCACGCAGACTAGGACCTTTGGAGCCCAGAGGCCTTTGAGGGGCCCCTCTGCATCCCCCTCATGTCTGGCTTTTGCCTGAGCCATTCTTTTAACCACACTGGAAACAATAAAGCTTGCGGGGGGGGGGGGGGGGGGGCGGGAGAATTGGCCTCCTAGTCCTCTCAGACCTTAGCATGTAAGAGGCAGCCAGATGCTGGGAACTGAGTGAGGGTGAGTAGTGCAGGGATGCTGGCTCAGGTTTGTTTTCACCCACGGACAGGTGGTGCTTGTCTTCACTTGGCTTCCCACCTCTTCCTGAGTTGGGAAATCTTTCCTCCCAGCCTGTGCGTTTCAAGTGGCTCCAGGTCCTTTAATCATAGCATTCAAAGTGAGACAAGTTTTTTTTTTAATATGTGTTTGTGTGTGTTTTATAGATATATAATTTCAGAGAGGAAGGGAGAGAAACATCAATGACGAGAAAATCATTGACCAGCTGCCTCCTGCACACCCCGTGCTTGGGATTGAGCCTGCACCCTGGGCATATGCCCTGACTGAGAATCAAACTGTGACCTTCTGGTTCATGGGTTGACGGTCAATCACTGAGCCACCCCAGCCAGGAAAAGTGAGACAAATAACTCCATATAACAGCTGCCTTTTCCTTCCCTTCCATTTGCAACTACCTTCCACAGGGACCCCACCTCATCCAGTTTCTCTTCCCCGGCTCCTCCAGGTCTCCTGGCTGTGATTTCCCGCTGCATCCTCTACCTCATTCCAGTCTCACTGCACTCCACTCTGCTTTTCACACTTTATCTTCCCCCTATTCTTCCCAATTACACTCCCCTCCCTTCACCCCAGTGGACTGTACTCATCCTACAAAACTAGCTACAAATCCCCGTTTGTTCCTTGAAGCCTTCTCTGGCTACCACAGCCTGCATTAAGTTTTCTGAACTCAGTTTCCACCACACACTTTAGCCCGCTGACTTCTTTTATTATTCATTGTGAACCAGTTCTGTGCCGTCCCCTGTAATTGCCAGGCTTTATGGGGACAGTATGCCTGTTCCCTTCCAACTCCCCCTCAGCACTGAGCCATGCGGAGCACAGTGGGTGCCAGGTGATTGCGTGGCTGTTTGATGGTGTGTGAACTCTAATAGGTGTGATACGGTAGGGGATGGTCGGCTGGAGGAGTGGGCTGGTGGAGGGTTTCTTATTCAGAGACAGGGAATCACTTGGGGGAGAGGAGATGTCTCTTTCAAGATTAACCTAGAGCCATGGTCGGCAAACTGCAGCTTTCGAGCCACATGCAGCTCTTTGGCCCCTGGAGTGTGGCTCTTCCACAAAATACCACAGCCTAGGCAAGTGTATTTTGAAGAAGTGGCATTAGAAGAAGTTTAAGTTTTAAAAATTTGGCTCTCAAAAGAAATTTCCATCGTTGTACTGTTGATATTTGGCTCTGTTGACTAATGAGTTTGCCGACCACTGGAGCATATTCTGGATAGGATTGGGCCAAGCCCCACCCCTTCATCCCAGATGCTGGTCCCTAACCCCTCCTGGCTGGCTGCTACCCACTTCATAAAAAGTAGCCCCAACCAGCAGGAGGCAGCTCACGGAGGAGGATAAGCACGGAGCATGGACAGCTGTAGCAGTCTGGAAGTGGAAATGGCCGTAGTTCCAGGATGAAGTCCAGAAAGCATAGCGGATGCAAAGAAACCTACTCAATGTATATCTACAAGGTGCTAAAGCAGATGAGAGCTGGAAGTTTGTGTGTGTGTGTGTGTGTGTGTGTGTGTGTGTGTGTAATGTACTGGCAAAGAATTGGAAGGGTAGTGCTGCACTGGGAGTCAGGACTTGGTTTAGTTTGGCGCTGAGACGAGTGGCCTCACACACACTGTGCTCTTCTAGAGGTGGTTGAACTTGATCTTGGAGGTCTCTACCCCTCTCAGGAGATCATGCACCTGTGATGTGCAGGGGATATTTAAGGCATGCTCTCCACCACAGTTCTGAAGCTTACAGGGCTTTTGGAAAGACAAAATGATTATACGGAATGTTAGGTGGCACAAAATTAAAAGGGAAGACCATGAGAAAGTGGTGGGCTGAAGGTGATTGATCTCCCAGGTGCCAAACACATTATGGTGCAAACAAATTCCAGTTGGTGCCGGTAGAGCTAGGAGCACTTTGTGTGAACTCAGGTCTTGGGAAGGCCTTCCATACAAGTGGCACTGTCTTTGCGGAGCTAAGGGGTTGGTCCACTTTACAGAGGAGGAACCTGAGGTGCATCCAGGCTCAGTGGGTTCTCTGAGTCACAGGACCTGACAGCAGCAGCTCTAGCCAAGCCCCTTGAATGCTTCCTGCTGGTCCCACCCGAAACCACAGGTGTCCTCTAGCCAGGCAGCACATCGGTGGTGTGCCTCTGAGAAGCACCTATGCCTAGGACTGACAAACTTTTGGAGGCACCAAGGGAACCCAACAATTGAAGTGTGTCTGGAGGATCCAGACAACCTGGCCAACAGCCCTGCTGCCTGCCCAGGTCTCTGCAATCCGTCTCAGGTTCTTACCCAGAGGTGGAGCCTGTCTCCAGACATTAGCAGTCTTAGTGATCTGACAGCCTGGTCTCTGGGAAGGGTGAGGTGGGGTGGCCAAAGGGTAGCTCTGGATGACACACTCCAGTGTCCTGAAGCAAGTGTGTGTGGGAGCAGGTATTAGTGAGTCCTGCAGCTTAGCCTAACCAGGGCTCAAACATCATGAGGGAAGAGCTGGGCCAGGACTGGCCTTGCAGAGGAGAGCTGCTGAGTGAGCTGCCAACACAAAAACCCTCACCGGCAACCCTGAGGAGAATGGGATCTAATGAGACACTTGGGGTTTAGGCTCAACCGGCCTTGTTAGGGCCCAGATTTCCTGTTGTCAGTGGTAACCAGAGGTGTCTAGTTCTATCTCCACCAATAGCTTGATGTCTGTCACTGGAAAGTTACTTACCTCCCACTTTACAGAGAAACACTGTCTGCCTACTCATATTTTAGGATTGTATCAGGTCTCCACCGTTTGTCTTACTAGAGATTACCTAGTTCAAAGTCTTGTGTGATAGCCAGCTGGTGGGGCTCAGCCAACTGTTTCGATTCCTGCCAGGGCACATGCCCGGGTTGTGGGCTCAATCCCCAGTGTATGTAGGATATGCAGGAGGCAGCAGATCAATGTTCTCTCTCATCATTGATGTTTCTATCTCTCTCTCCCTCTCCTTTCCTCTCTGAAATCAATAAAAAATATATTTAAAAAATAAAAATATCCTGTGTGATAAAAGAGGAAACTGAGGCTGAGGAAAGTGCCTTTTTTGAGGTGACAGAATGAGTCACAGTCCAGCCACAGAACCTGGGTGTCCTGACTCCTCTCATCTCTGAGATGAGAGGAGTCAGGACACCTGACTCATCTCTGAGATTGGGTCACATAGGTGTGCTGTCTGGCAGGTAATTTGGTAACAACAATCTCCAAGTTAAGTCACACACCCTTTGACTTGGCAGTGCGGTCTCTAGGAATAACCTTCTGTATGCTTGCACAGTGTCCAAAGTTGCATATTTACTATAACATTGATAGCAAGAAAACAAAACCCCCAAAATGTCCATTAAAAGAGGAGTGGAGATATAAGCTATGATTCCTCCACACTATGAAACACTATCCAAAAAAATCCAAAACACTATGCAAATGCATTCAATGGAAAAAGCAAAGTGCTGTGTAACTGATTCCATTTGTCAAAGACAGATGCTGAGGGGCAGGGATGGGCTAGAAGAGGTCAATGGGGGAAAGGGGGACATGTAATACTTTTAACACTATGGATTTTTTTTTTTTAAAAAGATAGATGCTGACATGTGCTTATACAGAACCTGATAGTGTTGCCTCTTTCAGTTGGGACAAACCATTTCTTTTTAACTTGGAAACAGTAGTATAAAAATGAAACCCTATTCCCATGTCTCTTGGCTTCTGGGAAGAGGCTGGTGAGGTGGCAATAGTCCTGCGTCCCCAACCTGGGGCTGGGGCATCAGGCAGAGCTTCCTGGTTAAAGCAGTCCTGCCGTTTATCCAGATGCACCCTGACATCGGCATCTCCTCCAAGGCGATGAGCATCATGAACTCACTTGTGAATGATGTGTTTGAGCGGCTGGCTGGCGAGGCCACCCGACTGGCTCAGTACTCAGGCCGAACCACACTGACGTCCTGGGAAATCCAGACGGTAGTGCACCTGCTGCTGCCTGGGGAGCTGGCCAAGAACGCCATGTTCAAGGTCACCAAGGCTGTCACCAAGTACACCAGCTCCAAGTGACCTGGGACCTAAGCTAAATAAAGGGTGAACTGCTCTCATGCAGTGGTGATTTAAAAATGGACATGTGAAATTGAGGTGTGATTTGAAACAAACGTGCATATTATCACTTTCCCCCTCTTTTATTTTTATTTAAAAATGGTTTTTTGTTGATTTTAGAAAGGGGGGGGGGAGGAGAGAAATATCGATCAGCTGCCTCCTGCATAAACCCACAACCTGGTCATGTGCCCTAACCAGGAATTTAACCAACCACCTTTCAATGCATAGGACGATGCTCAACTAACTGAGTCACCCAGCCAGGGCAGGTATTGTCACTTTTGATGGCCACTAAGGTGGAATTGCAACACTTACTTATACTTTTTTTTTTTTTTATTGCTTTCTGGGTGTACCCCATGAGCACAGGTGAAAAATGTTCTCAATGGCAGTGAGCTGTTGTAGGACTTGGGGCTGGGTTTGGAATCCTCCAGCTACTGCCAGCTGTTTTCATCATGCCCTCTCTGGGCCTGAAATTCCTCCTGTGTTACTCCTTTTTTTTCTGTTTTGTTTTTTTTTAATTTCAAGAAAAACTATTTTAAATATGTTACATGTAATAAACATTAATATCTCAAGAAAAATTATTTTAAATATGATAATGTTACATGCAATAAACACCAATTATTCAAGAAAAATAACCTTACATATATTGTTACATGCAATAAACATTAATATTTCAAGAGTAAAAGGATATTAAGTATAATAATAATAATACCAAAACTGTGTTAACATAGTCTGATATCAAAAAAGTTGTAGAAAATTTTAAAAATCTGCAAATAACAGGATTACATCTATTATATTCTAGAATATTTTCCCCTCTAGCTCTATTTTTGTTCATCAGTTTATGTTGTTCATTATATTCTACAAATGAGTGAGATCATATATTTATCTTTCTCCAACTGGCTTCTTTCACTTAACATGATGCTTTTAAAGTCTATTTTGTTGGATAGAGCATGGAAAAAATTTTTCCATCTCTTCACTTTCATCCTGTGTAGGTCTTTTGTTTTAAGGTAGATCTCTTGTAGACAGCATATAGTTGGATCATGTTTTTTGTTTTTTTTTTTTTTAAATATATTTTATTGATTTTGTACAGAGAGGAAGGGAGAGAGATAGAGAGTTAGAAACATCGATGAGACAGAGTCATTGATCAGCTGCCTCTTGCACACCCCCTACCGGGGATATGCCCGCAACCAAGGTACATGCCCTTGACCGGAATCGAACCCGGGACCCTTCAGTCCCCAAGCCAACGCTCTATCCATTGAGCCAAACCGGTCCCAACTGGATCATGTTTTTTTATCCATTCAGCTACCCTACACTTTTTTGATTGGAGCATTTTCTCCATTTACATTTAGGGTTATTATTGAGAGGTACTTATTTATAGCTATTTTAATTCTGTATGGATAGGTTTCTCTCTCTGTATCTTCTTCTCAGCAAATCCTTACAGTAGTCCCTTTAGCATTTCATGTAATGATGGCTTCGTGGTGATGAACTAACTCCTTTAGCCTTTTTTTTTTTTTTTTTTTTTTTTTTTTTTGTCTGGGAAGCTCTTTATTTGACCATCTATTTTGAATAATAGCCTTGCTGGATATAGTAATCTTGGTCTCAGACCCTTGCTTTCCATTACCTTGAGTACTTCATGCTATTCCCTTCTGGCCTGTAGAGTTTCTGATGAGAAATCAGGTGTCAGATTTATGGGAGCTCCTTTGTAGGTAACAGTTTTCTTTTCTCTTGCTGCCTTTAAGATTCTCTCTTTGTCTTCAATTTTTAGCATTTTAATTATGATGTGTCTGGGCATAGGTCTGTTTGGGTTCTTCTTGTTTGAGATTCTCTTTGCCTCCTAAATTTGTATGACTTTTTTCTTTATCTGGTTAGGGAAGTTTTCTACCATTATTTCTTCAAACACCTTCTCTATTCCTTTCTCCCTTTCTGCCTCTTCTGGCACACCTATCATTCTATTGTTGTTATGTTTCACATTGTCCTACAGCTCCTTTAAGCTGTCGTCCTGTTTTTTAATTGTGTGTGTGTTTTTTTCTTTTTGGTTCTCTAATTGAGTGACATTTTCAACTCTGTCTTCTAATTCACTGATTCAATCATTAGCTTCCCTTAATCTGCTCCCCTAATATTCCTTCCAATGTGTTCTTTATTTGTGTTATTTCATTATTTATCTCAGACTTTTTTTTCATAGTTACTATATCTTTTTTCATACTGTTGAGCATTTTTTAAAAATATATTTTATTTATTTTTATACAGAGAGGAAGGGAGAGAGATAGAGAGTTAGAAACATCAATGAGAGAGTCATCGATCAGCTGCCTCTTGCACACCCCCCACTGGGGATGTGCCCACACATCCCTTGACCGAAATCGAACCCGGGTCCCTTCAGTCCCCAAGCCGACGCTCTATCCATTGAGCCAAACCAGTTTCGGCTGTTGAGCATTTTTAACATCATTACTCTGAACTATGTTTCAGATAAATTTATCTCTGCTTCATTTATCTCTTCTGGAGAATTCATTGGTTCTTTCATTTGGGGATTATTTCTTTGATTCCTCATTTTGAGTGTCTGTTTGGGTTTGTAACTATGTATCTACACTTCTCAATCTCTAGTTCAGGACAGTGTTAAAGGCTGTTTCTGACTAATTGGATCAGGCAAAGACTCAAACCTTCAGAGACAGCCTTTGTCTACAAACTAATAGAATTCTGACTTGAATTGCCCCCAGGCAATCATCCTTAGGTGTGTGGGGAGAATTTTTTCAACAGGGTGGGGCAGCTGCTTATGCCTGGGAACTTTTAATCTCTTGTTTGCCTCAGGGCAAGGTATTTTCCAATAGGGTGTGTCAACTGTCTTCCCCCCAAGTTAGGCAAATGTCTGTGTGAAAAAATATGTCCTCTGCTGTGTGAGGGAATGACTCAGCCCAGGAAATTTGTGGTATTTGCCTTCTGAGCTCTATCCCCTGAGTACCTAGTCCTAGGGTCTGCTCTCACAGCTCCAGTCCACTTCATGCCCCCTCTGCCTGAGCATGAATGGGTGGCTCTACAGGGAATTCTTATGCATTGGCCCTTTAAAAGGGTGCCTGAACTTTCAGCTGCCACTCCCTGGCAGACAGCACCCCATGTTTTTCCAAGCTAGATGTTATGTGGGTACCCTCTTCAGCTTGGTGCTCTCTGATGCGGAGCCCAGCTTCAGGATTAGATCCCAGAGTTCTCAGTGAAACACACACACACACACACACACACACACACACACACGCCGAGCTGAGATATCTCTCTGGGACTTCAGCTGCTATCTGTATGTGCCTTCCCCTGCAGGATTGATCACCCCCTTGCAGGCCTGGTCCCTCCCAACTGCCCTCCCCTGCTGGCCATCTTGTGATGGCCATCTTGTGTCCACATGGGGGCAGGGTCTTTGACCATATGGGAGCAGTTGTGTTGGAGTGATGGTCAATCTGTATATTACTCTTTTATTAGATAGGATAGAGGCCTGGTGCATGGGTGGATGTTAGCTGATTTACCCTGAAGGGTGTCCTGGATCAGGGTGGGTGTTCCCTTAGGGCACGGGTGGTCTGGGCAAGGGACCTGTGGTGGTTTACAAGCCAGCCACGACCCCAGCAACCCAGGCAGAGGCCCTGGTATCTGGAATTTATTTACCTTCTACAATTGAAACTTTGTAGCCTTGAGTGGAGGCTTAGGCAGGCTAGGGCAGGCGGAAAGCTTGGCTTCTTCCATTGCCTGGGAAACCCAAGCCTCCCTCCTGTTCTCTGTGGCTGAAGCCATCTTGGTTGGAGTTAATTTGCATACTCACTCTGATTGGCTTGTGGGCGTGGCTTGTGGGTGTAGCGGAGGTATGGTCAATTTGCATATTACTATTTTATTAGCATAAATATATATATATAATTGATTTCAGAGAGGAAGAGAGAAGGAGAGAGATAGAAACATCAATAATGAGAGAGAATCATTGATCAGCTGGCTCGATCAAGCCCACAACCCGGGCATGTGCCCTGACTGGCAATCTAACTGTACACTCAACCACTGAGCAACACCAGCCAGGCTAGATGCATTTAAAAAAAAACATATTTTATTGGTTTTTCACAGAGAGGAAGAGAGAGGGATAGAGAGTTAGAAACATCAATGAGAGAGAATCATCGATCAGCTGCCTCTTGCACACCCCCTACTGGGGATATGCCCGCAACCAAGGTACATGCCCTTGACCGGAATCGAACCCGGGACCTTTCAGTCTGCAGGCCAACGCTCTATCCACTGAGCCAAACCGGTCCCGGCTAGATGCATTTTTTTTTTTTTTTTAAAGATATAAAACAGAAGGCCTGAGCCAGCTTGCAAATAGCTTGCTGGGATCTGGAAGATGTTTTCATTCTCCCCTAACATTTTCTTCCCCTCCATTTCAGAACAAATTGGTAGAAAGGTTTTTGAGACTCCTAACTTTTTTTTTTAAAATATATTTTATTGATTTTATACAGAGAGGAAGGGAGATAGAGAGTTAGCAACATTGATGAGAGAGAGTCATCTATCAGCTGCCTCTTGCACACCCCCTACTGGGGATATGCCTGCAACCAAGGTACATGCCCTTGAATGGAATCGAACCTGGGACCCTTCAGTCCCCAAGCCGACGCTCTATCCATTGAGCCAAACCGGTCCCGGCGAGACTCCTAACTTTTCTTCCCCGATTTCATTTAAAAAAATTTCAACACTTCCCCCACCACTACCACCACACACACACGTGCGCACACGCACACACACATACACAAAGTTGCAAGAGAATACAATGACATTTGTATGTCCCTCACTCAGGTTCACCACTTAACACCTGACCCCATGTATCTTTTCTCTCTCATTCAGCCTTGGTTCCAGCTTATGGGCATGTGACCCATAAATGCTGTCCCGAGCTCGGAGAGGTGGGGAGGGGTGGGAGTCAGTGACTAAGTCCCCTGTGTTCTCTTTGTGACTGGACAGACTCAGCTCATCGGCTTCAACTCCATGTGCTCAGGAGGCTCTTTGCGACAGTGGCTGCCTTCACACACATTTTCTCATATGAAGAGCCTGCGGACTCACATAGAGGTGCCCTGACATGAGAACTAATTA